TGTTTAACCAATTGACTTTTTTTTCCGTAAATCTGAATTGTGAGAGTCAAAGATAATGCGTCGTTTCTTTCGGTAGTGCCTTAGGCCTGGAGTGGTTTGAGAGCCTTTCGGGGGTGCCATGGGGTGCCATGCAGTGTTATCACTCTTAAGTGTGCAAACATGATTCTTAAGACAAACACAGAGATTTCAAATAGGAATCTATAGTGCTAAAAGCATTCTAACCTGTTATGGTCCATTTGACTTTGCGACAGAAGAAACTGCTCTATTATCTTTTTGTAGTCAAAAATCAAATAAAAACTAAGAGCATGCCTTTTTCCAAGGGGTTCTTTGAGTTTGCTGAGGGGTGCCTTGGCTTCATCAAGGGGTGCCTTGAGTCTAAAACGGTTTCGAACCACTGCTTTAGGCTTTCACTAGCATTAGCTCTTCAGGGAAATTCTGTTTATAGTAGTTTTCCTACTTCCAGACATAAGCTCTAAACCAGTTAATATGGGCAAAAAAAAGAGTTTGTTAACAAACTTCTGTAAACACACTTAGAAGTCTTTGTCCTCTCAGAATTATAGATGCTATTTCTAAGAGTTTATTTACAATGAGCAGTATGTTTTTACAGTAATTCTGGTTCTTTGCAAAGACAAGCAAGTTTATGACTCTCAGTACATTTACAACATTTGGCTTTTTCCCAAAACCAAAAAAAAACGGTTTTTAATCTTTTATGTTTAAACAGATGTGTAAACCAAAGCATTGCTGTCTCATACTTCAGTGTTTTTAAAGAAAGAGGTGAATGGCTGGATTTTCATTGTTTTTTAAATACTTTTAGGGAAAACACTAACATGCTGTACAGCAGTGGTGGCCTACCTTTGGCATGAGTGCCACAAATGGTATGGGCAGCCTAAGTACATGGCAAACAGCAAATTGGGAGTGGGGGGGGAACACAGAACAGTGGCAAATAGGGCAGGAAAAGGGCACTGAGTTGGAGAGTAGGAGGGTAATTTCTGGTAGTCCTGCCAAAAAGATTGGCCTTCATTGCTCTACACTATCTAGGGTAACATTAGTTAAATGATGAAAGTTTTTTATGACTCTTGATTCCCTGAGACAAAGTATAGCCAATACAAGTCATTATCACAGTGCAGTCTTATCCTACAGATATTTCAGAATGCAGCCCATCAGAATAAGCCATCATTCTCATTTCTATTAACATTTGCTTACTAATTTGTAAGGTAAAATTCTATTATACCCATATATAATAGAGAAACAATCTTTCTTAATTCACATATTGAGTAGGATATGTATAAAATATTATTTTAAGAATAAAATGTATAATATTTGCTAATAAGTTTCAGTCTGCAAATCTCATTAGAAGGAGCGGGTGTACAGTGCGATTTCACATTTTTCTTGAAAACCACAAAATTAAGTGATTTTTCACAAAAAATGTGATTTGAGTGTGCTCCAAGCAGCAGGAAGGGGCGAAGCTCGTGCCACGGAACAGGGTGGGAAAAGGTCTGCCCCTGGGCAGCGCCCGCACATGGAGCCTCTGGACTGGGCAGCAGCTGCAACGTACTGTGGAGGGAGCAGGGCAGTGAGGGGCTGCAGCTCCTGCATTGCGGAGGGGCATTGAGGCAGGCCTCCACAATGTGTGGGTGCTCATCTGCAGGTTTGCTCTCGGACATGACTGCCTCTCTCTGTGTGTCTGTAGCAGGCAGGGCTGGGGGCTCATCGGTCCTGGAGTCTCCTGCAGCTGCCTCCTCCCAAACAGGCTGGAGCCCCTGACAAGGTTTCACCATTTCTTCCCTTGCTCCCTCCCTTCCCCCTGTACTATGCCAGAGCCAAAGGTTCACGCTTGACCCCTGCCCTTAAAAGTCCATGTGGCAGCCTGCTGAGCTGTGGCTGCTCTGGTTTATGCAGAGCCCCTCCCGCCCCTTCCCTTCCATCCCCTTGCGGCACAAGGGCCCAGGTTGTGGCAGTAAGAGCAGCTGGGAGAGATGCTGGGGGGGGCACCATTATCTGGATGTGAAAATGGGCCCCTGCCATGATCGGGCCATGATATTAGTGAGCTGGGCCCATGATTTAAACCAGGCCTTACTCATTAAATTCCTGTTTGCAGCTAGAGGCCTTTTGACTTTATCAAAGTCTTGACTTCAGCTTTTGTGTAGTCTGTGTAAGATTGCACTGCAACATTAATGTTTGGAGTTGTGCATTAATCTTATCAAAGTACAGATTTGTATTTTTTGATATTTTAATTTGTTTATCTTTACTGTTACAGTCTCCCTCTCTCTGTTATTTGAGGGATTACTTGCCATGGTAATGTATTGAGAACAGATACAAGATCTCATGAGCTGCAAACTTTGTGAACAGCCCACTGAAATCAGGAAATGGACCTGATGAAACAGAAATTGAATAGGAGAAATAGTGAAATGGCAGATTATCATGTTAACTGTGCTTTTTGATTTTTTTTATCTGTTCAACAACAGGAAGGAGTTCATGGCATGACTGGAAAGTTGATGTTTCCACTTCTTCCCATAAATATTTAAATCCCAATGTTCATTTCTGATTGGTCCCTTCACTTCTTTTTCCACTGCTACTGTACTCTCCAAGTACACTACTCAATTATTAAAATGTAGTTTCCCAAGATCCCCTGCACTGTACTTTGGGAGGGGACTATTCAAAAATATAAATTAAGAGATTTTATGACGGATTAGCCTAAATACCTAAATAGAGTGAAAAGATCTGTTCAGGAAATTGGCTGTGCTGATGCATAATTAGTTAAATTTACAAAATATATTGTTGTAGAGTAACTAAAATGTTGGGTGATTATTTCAGTTATAACCTTACTTAATCTCATGTCCATAGGAATCAGACCACTTTGTACACCTAGTGGTCTTCTTTAGTATGATCTCTGTTAACATAATATTTAATGTGCAGCCTTACTATTATTCCCTTTCAGGTATGCATTAAGATTGTTGGGAAGTGTCCTATTAGTAATAGTATTTGTTCACATAAAGCTATCAAAATATGGAAGCAAGATAGCAGGATTATGGCTAAACTATCAGCCTTAACTTTTTTATATTTTTTTGAGTTGCTTCCTTAGCAGTCAAGGTTCTTTGGGTGAATCTGCTGATACGTTTTATTAGACGTGGGGGGGGCGGGCAAAATGTGGCCCGTGGGCCGGATGTGGCCTGCCAGACCATTCTATCCAGCCCATGGGGCCCCTAAAAATTTAGAAAATTTATATTTATCTGCCCCTGGCTGCCTGTCATGCAGCCCTCGATTGCTTGACAAAACACAGTAAGTGGCCGTCCGCCCGAAATAATTGCCCACCCCTGTATTAGACCAACCTAAATAGCTGGAAAAAATTCACCAAAAAAAGATTCACCTGAAGGACCTTGGTTGCCTATGTCCTTAGACCAACACAGCTACAACCTATACTTCCTTTAGCAGTGGCATTTTTATCTATTGGATGTCACCTGTAGAATATGATAACAACTATAAAATTGAAGTGGTCTTGTTTGGCTCAGGCGGGTCTGCGGTGCCACACACCGCACATTCAGGCACTTCCTGGGCCGCAACCTAGCAGCATGGAGGGAGTGGTGGTTATGACAACTGGAGACAGAGGTCAGAAACCCCCAGAAAAAAAGTGGGACGTCACGTGCACTGCCCAAAACCAGAGCCTGGCCGGCTGGAGCCACACTTCAGCTGCTGGCCAGTTTCCAAGCTACAGAAGCGACATGGCTGCAGGTTCCCTGGCCCTAGGGCTTCAGGTAAGGCTGTTGGGGCCAGCACAGTTGCTGGCCCCAGCCTCTCCTGCCGCATCCGAGGTAAACTGCCGTGCACCACAGGGCGTGTGGCATGGGCATTCCCCAGGGACAACTAGTAGCAGCACAAGGTGTCCTGCTGCTAGTTGTCCCTGTGGAACCAAACGTTTGCACTCATCTGGATGCAGCCTGTGAGTGCAGTTTTTTAAAACACTTCAACTGAAAGCAGTGTTCACAGAAGATGATGGGGGGGAATTATAGTATTATATATCAAGCATCTGTACTTCATAAACTGTTGTGTGTGTGAAAAGTTTTCTTGCTTTTTCGTCTAAAGTAATTGAGAATTCTGCATAAGGCATGGGGGGCGTGTAACATAGAACACAAATGCACTACTAAGTAGAAACTAAGTGTGAATACAGATGGTTTGTGTAAGTGCTAAATGAGGCAAGAAAGGAGTGATGTATTTATTGAGACAATAACCTATTCATATGTGGAATATTTTGTTCTTACAGTGCTCTAGGGTCTGGATGATGTAACTGAGTTTAGGGAGCCCTATAGTGCTAGGCTAATGTATTTGGGCCCTAATCCTGTAGTATCTGAGAACCTCACAATCTTTTAAATAATGTATGCCACAACTCCTTTGTTTTCCCTGTTTTAAGGATGGGGACAGGAGGCACAGAAAGATAAACTGACTTGTTGAGAATTGCACGCGAAGTTTTATAACAAAATGGGGAGTTGATCTGTGGTCTCTTGAGTCCCAAGTGACCGCTTTAATAGCTGAACCATGACTAAGGGTGATAAAGAAGTGCACCTTTTTTTTTTCAAAATTTGGCTGCTGGAAATTGGGGGTGTGCAGTATAAGCAAGGGAATATAGTAATAGTCATTTTTGCCTCTGCTAGGGGAAAGCATAAGTAATGCTGCTAGGGGAGCAGGACAAGGGGCATGCTGCATTTCCTAGCTTGCTGGCTGTGGACACTTACTCTCACTGCCTGCCCTGTCCTCCCCAAGCAGAAGCTCATTCTGCAGAAGCTGCTACTCAGTTACTTACAGCTCCTGGTCAGTATTTTTAGAGAAAGATCTTTTTTTTTCCCTTCATTCTGCCTTTCAGAAACAAGGTGTGTAACATATTCAGAGGCACATTATGGAAGAAAACAGAGTAATACTAACTGAGCTGCTGAACCATGACAGAGTAAATCTGTTCTTTGAAATAGAAAAGAAAGTTTTGGTGTTTTTCTCTCTTGTGTTTCTGTTAGGAAGATGAAAAAAGCCCAGAAGAAAATCCAAAAGAAGCCACATTGGTGAAGAAGAGCACTGAGAGAGGGCAGCAGAGAAGGCAACAGATGGCTGGCAAGCAGTTTCACCTCTGTATTACACATCCCGTCATTCAGAAAAAGAAAAAGCTACACAGAGTAGGTTCAACCACCTTCTTGATTGGAAAGACCCCGACAGGAATCCGTAGGTGAGTTGCTGGGGGGGAGTGGCAAGACTGAAGTTAAAATCCTCAGGTTTCAAAGAGTTTTTCTTCAGGCAATTAAATTAATTATTCGTTTTGTCATAAACTTCAGGCATAAACATGAAACACTGGTGGCTTTCTATGACAAGAGAAGAATTTAGCTCACATTATACACAGAGTATTAGAATTGATTAATGAACTTAAATGAACCCACAAATTGTTTCAGCATGTTGAATCAGTATGACATGTTTTACATAGCTACAGATGTTATCACACCAGGATTCATGGTGTATGTGTGCTCTACACAGAACTACAAGCTAGTATTAAATTGTATAAAAATGAGAAATGTTGCAGGTTGGACTTTAGACTGGCTACTGGTACTACCCAGATCTCATCACTTACAGCTGAAAGATTGTGTACAGAACTCGACTTTTTTTTTGTTTTGTTTTTGTTTTTTTGAGTGTAGGGCTCATTATTTTCTAAAACATATTGCCCCTTTACTGCTTTTTCTCGAGGCTGTGGGGAAAAAAGACCAACTTACCTATTCTTTCTTGCTCCCTGATTTTCACTACTGGTTGTTACAACAACAAAAGCATTTAAATTCTAGTAGACTAGAGATAGCGGTACGTTGTTCCAGGCAACAAGAACAGCAGAAGCGAAAGTTCTGTTACAATAGTTAGGTATTACACAGGCACAGAAATGAAGAAATTTTTTGTAGCCAGTCAAGATGCTGAGAGAGTGACTTTGTAAAATCAGCTGAAGCAAGACCATACAGGCTTTTTAAAAAATAACACTAATACCAAGTAGTGTTACCAAATAGAGGGGGGCATAACAATCCTGCTGCCTTCTACTTGAAAGAAGTCATGCAGTAAAATTCTGCAAACACTGAAATCTGGAGAGTTGACATTTGGAAAGGTGAAAGGCCTATGCATAGAGGCATATGTATAAACAGATGCATGGCTTTGGATATTTAAAGTGCTGGCAGTAAGTTCTTTTTGAACAAAAGCAGACTAGATCACGATCCACATTAACAACTGGGTAAATTATCTATATTGTGGTTAAAATATATGTTGTGCTGATCTGATATTGGAATGTTGGCATAAATTACTATACACTCTTTCCAGAATAGCTTGAAACTGAGCCAGTTCAATTTGCTTATCTATTCTGTAGCTTTGTACTGTTAATTTTTAATATAACTTAACTATCGGGTAAGTTTAAGTTGCATGGAAAAAGTGCTGTATATATAGCACTTGGAAGTTAAAGTATACATTTAAGACAGCATTTTTAATCCTTTTCTTCTCTAAAAGGATTAATTGGGTACTTTGTATACTGTGTGGGTTGTTAATCATGGCAAAATGCTTTTTAGAGGGCAAAAATGAAATATCAGGAGCAATTTCACTTTACATAGGCTAGCAAGAAAATGCTGGAATCTTTAGAGAACAACTTATAAGAGTTTTCTATCCAAAGGAGAAAACTGTAAGATTGTAGTTTAGGTCACTTGTTTTGTCAAGAAAAAGGAAGCTTTTTTGAATCTTCCTAGATAGTAGTATCTTATATGGGGTAAAATAAGATGTCAGTGTCAAGCCTTCATAGCCCTGAACTATGTATACTCTTAAAAACTAATTTCAAAGTCTTACATCAGTGGTTCGGAAACTTTTTTTCCCCACAGACCACTTGAAAATTGCTGAGGGTCTCAGCAGACCATTAATAAACTTTTTTTGTTCTACAAATCAAAGCACGCGGCTCATATTTTAATATCAGTAGTCTTACCGTACAAGTACAGATATTCTCAATTGTTCCGCAGCCTTTCTGTGGACCACCTGAATGGAGCTTGCGGACCAGTGGTGGTCCGTGGACCAGTTTGAGAACCTCTGCCTTGCATGGTTTCAGACATGATTAATAAAATAATCTTATTTCATGTGAAATGAGAGCAGGAGCCTCTTGTTAGCCCCTGTATTTTAACAAGCTCTTGAATTCTGTGACTGAGCATTCTAATGAAGTTGAAAGTGAATAATCCTCAGGAAGAGAGCAGGTGTTTGTAGACAGGATATTTGAGATGCTGCAGTTAAATGTAGAAACTGTTAAGCTTTGATGTAATAGAGGCCTAACATGGAGGAGGCCAGGGATAAAAACAGGCCTCTTGTTTGCATGTAGGCCTTTATTACTAAGTCAGTTGAATTTTGCAGGAAATCTCTAGTTAAAACTTGGACTAGAGACACAATCTGGTGCAATCAGTGTTTGATTATGTACATTTTAAATGTCTGTAGATCTGAACCTTTTAAAGGTATCCCAAAGTGATTTGAATGGCAACGAGTTATATATGGGTAGCCAGAAGCTCAGCTATGAGACTCGCACAGTTTAGAGCATTAGAAAGTGTTGTATAGTGTGCAAGTGTTTTTTGTTGTTGTTTTTTTTTACTGAGGTTTAATGATAAGCCTAGCTTACTGATAAACTTAGCCATTGTTTAAAACGTCATGAACTCTTAACTTCAATGTGAATAACTACTGAAGGGACCTGAGGTCCTAGACAGATGTAACATTTCAGGCACTTCAAATTCTGTTCCATGTTGAAACACTGGAGCCACAGACAGACATACAACCCCTGCCAGAGTACTTCAGTCTCTGTGAGGTATGCAAAGAATCATTTGGAAGTGCTTTCTAATGGATGCTGTTTAAGTCGGTCATTTTTGAAGCCCTTCAGAGAGCATGTGCGTCTGTCCACTTGCTCTTTGAAGCACTTCAAAGGCATGTGAAGTGCTTCAAATGCCTTGGTTTTAATGATTATTCAGAATGATGGCACTCTGGCTTTATTTTTGCACTTGCCTAGAATCATACTGCAGTATCAGTATTGAATATTTAGTTCTGTTTTATTTGTATAATTTTCCAGGCCTGACTTAAGGAAATTAGCGTAGCAGCTTTTGCAGTATATAGAGCCTGAGGAACAGTCTAAAGATGAAATAGTAAATAGGGTAGAGAGTATAAAAAAAGATTGTACCCCTCTGGCAGTGAGATTTGTAGAAGGACGGGCTATCAGGTGTTGAAGTACTGCAGTACCAGAAATAGACTAAAATTTAACTGTATTAATGAAAAAAACTTTAGCAGTTCATTTCTGATGAAAGACCAATACTTGAGAGACCCTGACAGATGTTAAAATGATGGTGCAATTGGGATCAGAGGGACATGCGAGGCATATTTGGGGTAGGGCACAAAATTCCTCCGTCCCAATCACACTACTGCTGAACTGGTTCCAGCCAAATCCTGCAGATCAGGCAGGGAGCGGCTCTGTCCTGGACCCACAGGTGCCCTCAGCTCTCTGCGTCTGCAAGCAGGGAATGTCAGGCAGGTGCTCCAGGGCCTGAGAGGCTCAATCCTGTCTGGGAATTTCTGGGTTGAGCAGGATTGGGTCCGTCAAACCCGCTGAACACCTGTCCCTCGGTGGCTGAAGAGTGTAGGCAGCTCCAAGCTGCTTGCACTCCTCCCACAATCAAATAGATGACCACCTCAACAAAAAAACACTGTCTTACACTACTTTTTGTCATAGCCACTGATGTGGCGCAACAAAGGGTATAGATGTTTATTTGATATTTTCCCTCCATTTGTGCACCATTTGTTTCTGCCCTCTGAGACGCAGGTTCAAACTCCCTGTGGGTGACAAAGGTCTAGAACCCAAGTCTCCCACTTCTGCATGAGTGTCCTAACCCTTCAGCTTCTAGAAGCTGTACATGGGAGGGTCCTTCTCCACCTCCCTAACCCTCCCCCTTCATTTTTTATGGTACTTCCACATGTATGTATCTATATACACTGTACAGCTAAGAACAGACATTCAAAAAGCCTGAGCCTGAATTGATTCAACCATTGCAGGTTAGTCTAACCTGGCTAGGCTGAACCGTTTTCCAACCATACAGACAATCTCTCTGGACTGAGGAAATTCAGGCACATGCCTGCGGTAGCTCAGGCTGGAAGCCAGGGGGCACTACAGCAGCCCTCCCTGCCCTTCTACAGAGCTGAACTGAGGGGGGTGTGGACAGGCCCCAGCAGGGCTCTGATTAGGGTGGGGTATGAACCCCCTCCCTGCCTGCAGTCCCAGGTTTTTTCCCACTCGCTGCTCAAAGAGCAGGGGTGTTGCCAGCCTGCAGCCCTAGGCTAGCACTCTGAGGCAAGGGTGGGAGGCAGGGGTGCAGTACATGCATTTGTTGATGATACAGAGTTTTTCGCTGTCCCTCCCTGCTTCTGTATACTGTCTGCAGCAAACTGACAGGCAAGCAAGCTGGGGGGAGGGAGTGGGGAGCTGGTAATGGTGTTTATCACTCTTATCTCATTGTTTATTGCCCCATTAAGAAAACAACAGAAAGACCTTGCCAGCCATCTGTTGATTCAGCGCAGACCCAGCATGTGGTCTGCTGGCTAATACACAGACACCTCAGCAAAGGCAGAGGGGAGGGGGAAATTTTTGCTTAAGGAGAGTGGTGAGGGGGAGGGAGGGGAGCAAACGGCTCTTCTCAAAGTTTCCAAGGAAGGACATTAAGCTACCTGTTGATTAGCTCCAAAAAGCCAGTCTGCCTTTGTCTCCCACAGCATGGACTGTAGCCAGCATGTGGTCTGCTAGCTAATCCAGAAGTGTCTGCTAAAGCAGAGGGTTGAGGGGAATAATCCCTTCTTAGCATGGAGAAACTAGGCAGATGCAGAGGGGAGGGGCCAGCCCTGATGTGGAACAGAGAGCCCTGCCCTGCCCAGCCCAGCCCAGACAGCATGTTGGGTGCTGCGGGTGTCTGGTTTATCTTAAACCAGCAAGGGGTCTGGGGCAGACATTGCATAAACCTGTTTGAGCCAAATCAGTTAACTCTGATACTACATTCAACCAGGCTTATCTCAAACCGGTTTCAGCCATTTTCAAATT